GTGCTACTATCAGCAAGATCGAATTATTTGAACAGGGGCAGCTGGAGGGGATGGGTTTCTACTTAATATTCTTCTGAGCCGGCCGTCGAAATGCAAAGCGGCACACTATTTGCGTCGCTTCATCGTCCGGAATGATGGAAGGGTGATCGAATCGTTTCCTTCCGTGGTTCAACGTCGGTAAGTAGACAATACTCTACCTAGGCAATCTGGCCAAATCCAACAACAGTAGAAACCTCTCTCTCAACGGTGCGCGTCTGCAAGACAGGTCCGGAGACCAAAATCAGACTAGCCTCGAAAAAGTTCAAAGTACAGCCATCAAAATGGTTAATTTTTGAAGCCCCTTCCCATATGCAATCCGCTTAAAGAAACTTAATCGGTTCCCATCGAGTTATAGACGAATTCGTGGGAATCTCCTAAAAAGTTTCATATTGTGAGGAAACAGGATTGTTAACTGGCGTTTGGGGATTTTTTTGAATTTGCTTCCACGACCAATCCCCGTGGTCATTCACTTAAACTGCGCGTTAAGCAGGTGGGGCTAGATGTGCGCAAGCTCTTCATTGCTGTCAGAGTGGTCAAACCCTGGAATACCTTCCCCACAGATGCTGTGGTGTCATCGTCGCTGGAATACTTTAAAAGAAACCTTGACAGATATATGTTCAAAAATGAGTCGGAGCCATGAGGGATTTAAATTCACTCTTGGAACTGTCGCACCTAATAATCCCGTTTGCGTTCTTGACAATTGCATGGTTTCTCAATACCGTGCTCTCAACTTTATGTTGCAAATAGGGTACTCAAAGACACATGCCCATTTTCCTCAATAAATTAAACTACAGTATTTAAAAAACAATATCGGAGGAAACTTCCGATACAGTTAGTGCACATTTGTAAACTCAGCTTGTATATCCTAAAGACTGCGTTGATTATGTAAACAGAAAAGGACTTCTTACTTATCCCATCTACCGTATGTGATAGTCTATTGTGGCCAAACTGAGAAAATGTGTACCCGGTTGTATTCAGGACACCGACTCATGGGGAGAAGACGAAGCTATTTGTTCCGGCCAGCTATCCCACACCGTAAGACGCGAAGAATATTTATCTGAAACAAAACCTGTGTCGTCGGCATCGGCTCGGGAAAGAAAGTCAGGAGTACCCAGTGGCATTTTACTTAAATAAGACATACATAAATGAACACATTTATGTTGGTTCCTTGTGGTATCTTTCAGTAACGTACCATTATTTTTTGCTTTTACAAAGGTTACTGCCTTTTAATATTTTAGTCTGACGTTGATGAGGTTGAAGATTAATTTTGATTCTTTTGAGATCCGCTTTATAATTCGCGTGTCATGTTCCTTCTACGATTTTCGGACACTTGCTACTATTTCGTTCCACTTGTGGAGGCATTTATCGAAAAGTAAAAGTGGTGCTGTTGAAGCAGCTGCAGATATTGGGGGTTTGCGCAGACAAGATGACTTTACTCACTTGTCAAGGCTCGTGTTTTATAAAAACATAAAAGGAGTTGTTACGCACGCTATTGCGGACAACATAGTAAAAGAAAATTTAGGCGAAAACAAACTATAAAATAAGGACAGGAAAAAATTCATTAGATGGGTAGTTATATCAAGGAGATAACCAGTTTCAATGGGGGGAGAGGGGGTGGGGATAACATCGGCATATCAGCTACACAACTGGTAAAGAGTGCACCGTTGTGGGGAAACGCGAGGGAAGGCGTTGGAAGGTGTCGAGATAGAGAACGAGAGACAGGTATTGCAGCGAATTTTGTGGAAGGTGATTCGATAGTTAAGTAAGAAAAGGCATCGGCTACCTTCATCGACGCATGGCTACACCATTATCATCTCGGATCCACATCAAAGATTGTTTGCTCTATTCAAGCAAGTCAGTCCAATTCATGGGGCACCGCAGTTTTGCTACCTCTCTTATCTATGTTTTTCGTTTCTATTCATCTTTCTCTTCATATCTCGCCAATAGTCTAGGCAATGAACAGAAGGACAACGTTTTAGCCATTAAGCCTCGGACTCATTGTCTTATCCGTTTAGATTCGGAGTATTAACATTCGTTGATGAAAGTTCACCTATCGCTAACGGAATTCACTCGTCCTAGTCTGCCCCACCAACAGCCGCGCGGCGGCTAGTGTTTTGAGCGGATGAATATTGCTGACAGAGACAATGGCGACTGGAATTACCATTTCTCGCTCATTAGCAGTCATCAGCCAGTCAGATTAAACCACAAGTGCTATATCACCGGAGGCTTGAAACACTGCCTTTTGATCAGAAGTCAAAACACTCTAACCATTGACTCATGGGCTCGTTGTATTGCCGGTGCTTGAGTATATGTTGCTAGAGCTCGCTAACAGCCTACTCTTTTTCAATTTCCTAAGCATTTTAGTCCCTAAGGCCACACAATTTTCTGTTCCATTTACGGCTCTAGAACCTTTCACATATACCCCGACCGGTAACGTTGCTAACGCCAAAAGAATCTGTGTCAACACTTATTATAATCTTGGGTTCACTTGCGTCTGGTTTGCTCACCTACGTCACCACTATTATAACCTAGTGTGTTCCTGTGTCAACACCGGTTATATCACTGGTTGATCTCACCTGCGTCGCAACTGTTATAACCGAGTGTGTACCTGTGTCAACACCGGTTATGTCCCCCAGTTACGCGTTAGGAAGAGAAAGCAGAACAGGATAGCTGATTGTACTTTACTGTCACTTCTACTAGTACATCAGCTCTGTTTCTCGTGTGTCCAGCAGCAAGTCGTCCGTGGTTGCATCGCGGCGTTCACTTCTGCAGTAAGTCTTGGGTCGTCGGCAGCGTCTCCATCACCAGAGTGGCAGCCTTCAGCGGTGGCAGCATATTTAAGTGCCATCGTTTCCTATTGGGTCTCCACTAGTGGCATCTACAGGCAGCAGCCATGCCTCCAGCCATCGT